CTGTTGGTTATGCTTGCATCTGCAGTACCTGACCATTTTCCCAGCTTTTTTATTTCCAGCATTCCTTTAGACTGTGTTTTTTTATTGTTTCTATTTCAGATTTCAGCCCTTGCACTGTTTGAATTGTTTCTTGAAACTTTTGCTTTGTCTTTTCTTCCATTTCTTGCATTTTTTGGATTGTTTTTTCTTCCATTTCTTTAAGGGATTTTCTCATATCCTCTTTGAGGGCCTCTATCATTTTCATGAAGTTGTTTTTAATGTCATTCTCTTCTGCTTCATTTGTGTTGTGGTGTTGAAATCTTTCTGGTGTAGGGTCTCTGGACTCTGGCGGTGTCATATTGGTTTTTCTGTTGCTCCTTGTGTTTTTATATTGTCTCTTTCCCATCCCTTCTTGCAGAGGGTTCCAGAAGATTGCCTCTTTCTCTCCTGGTGGGTGTGGGACCAGGGCTGCCTTCTGTCCAATGCTCTGGTAGCTTTCCACTTCCTGGTCTTGTGGCTGGAGAAATGAACTAGGATGCTGGGGTGCTTTGGATCCTGCTGGGGTGGATGGGAGCCCGAGGGGTAGACCCCAGTCACAAGCAGGTGGCCTGGAGATGGGCCCTGGTTTGCCTAGTCCGGTAGGTGGAGCAGGAGACTAGGATGCTGGGGTGCCTTGGCTCCTGCTGCTGGGATGGAAGCTGTAGTGGCAGACCCTAAGCACAGGCAGACACCCAGAAATGGGCCCTGGTTTACCTAGTCCCATCGGTGGAGCAGGAGACTAGGGTGTGTTGACTCCCACTGCTGGGATGGAAGCCTCAGTGGCGGACCCAAGCACAGGCAGCCGGCCTAGTCCTGAGGATGGAACAGGAGACTAGGTGTGCATTGGCTCCTGCCACAGGGACGGAAGCCTCAGTGGGAGGCCCCAAGCACAGGCCTGAAGTGAGTTTTTGAGATTAACTGGACAGAATCGACTAATCTCCTAGACATCTCTGGACTGAATGGCTTATCTGATACTATCATTTTGGATATAATATCAAACTAATTGACAACCACTTGCCAAAAACACAGGGCTCCCCGCACTTCCAATTAAAGATACAGCCCCATGCAATCCTCTCCACGACTCCCATCCCTTATGTTTCCCTGGCCTTTTCAGATTCCAATAAAAACAGATATGGTTTTCTTATCCAGCACTCTGGCTCCTAAAATATACCTATGTTATCCCCAACCCGGGTTCTGTTCAATAGGTAAGCTATTGTCTCTTCTCAAGGTTCTAGTGGAGTGCCAGATTGAGCCCAGTAACATTTTTTTTTCTGAAAGTCAGTACACTGTACAGGCAGTTCATGGACTGCCCCTTTCTCAAACCAAAGATTCACTGAACCCATTGCCAGTACTATGCTGCTCATACAAGATGTCTTAAAACAGAGGACTGAGTCCTGGTACCTGTCACATACTAGTTCTCACTACCTAAACATCTGTATCTCTTTACTTCTCAGAAAAGTTGTACTCCTGACTTAATTAAAAATCAAAGCTGGCTTTGGAGCTGGAGCTTGGTTCTCTCCTTCTCGAAATCCAATCATTTTGTTAAATTCAGAGTTCTGTCTCATATCAGAAAACCCACCTGACGTGGAACAGAAGAAAACAAAAAAAATCTAGGGACTATTGTTGTCAAAACTCAGTTATCTCCCCCAAATTCTATTTCTTCCCAAACTTATTTTTGACTCTTTAATACATTTCTTTGGATGAATATCTATTAAAAATTAAACCTTTGGTTTTGGTATTAATAATGTTTAATTTTTCCACAGTGAACAAAAATTATTCCAACAACAATCTCTGAAATCTCCAGAAGGAAGATCGGGCCCCACAACAGCGATTCTGCCTGGTTCATAATGATGCCATCAAGCCGATAAATATCACCCAAAGATCCTAGGCTGGGAATTTAGCCTAGAAAACAAAAGCAGGGGCTTGGACAGTTACTTGTACATATATATACAAGACAGCATTATTCTTAATCACCAAGAGGTACAAGCAACATAAATATTTATTGACAGATAAATAGATGGTAGATAGAAGATAAATAGATACATATGTACATACATAGATGATAGATAAGTAGATGATAGACAGAAATATAGGTAATATATTATAGATAGATAGATGATAAATAGATGTGACATATATATTCAGTAGAATATTATTACATTCTATATTTAAAAACAGGTTTGGAAAATTTGCTGTCCTACACATAAGTCCCACCCCCAATTCTAAGGGCCACTGTCCCTGAGAAATTCACCATCATCAAGTTTCCTACCCCATTCCATTGACATGGCTCTTGAATCAAGATGTCTGGGTGGAACAGTGGCCTATAATTGAATCCAAGCTGTCAATCTTAATGGAATTAGTTATAGAACAGGTAAAGATGGATACATTGAGCTGACTAGGAGTAAACATAATATTCCATATTTGTTATTCCCAAGAGACTTGTATGCTTATGGCTCCTTTAGGATCTTTGTACAGTTAATGATCAAATGGAAAAAAACAGGATCCACGCAACGAGGCCTCCTCCATTTTAGTGCTATTCCTCCAGTCTATTATATTTTAGTTTCAGACATTAAGGATTGCTTTTTTCAAATTCCCCTAGCACCACAGGATTGAGACTGCTTTGCCCCTGGTCAGATGAAGAGATCCTATCTCCCTCCAGTGGAAGCTGCCAGCCCCCGTGCTAACCTGTGGGGTAGGATATGCTTGTGTTTCTCCTCAGACTTCCAAGACACCAATATGTAACTAGTAAGAGATGTGAGCCCGGCCATGGATCAGCCTGCTTCCACCAAAGAGGAATAACACAGGATGGGTAATGTATATACTCCCCTTTCTTACTCTCATTGCCCCCCACAAACACAATGATTTATTTCAATTAAATCAGACAAGGGCAGAGGTTATGGTATTTGACTTTTCTGTTTTTTGAAAAGTTTGGCATAATATAAAAAGATTATTTGAGCCATGTTCACATATGCATTAATTGGTGGAGTGGTATTGTTAATCCTCTTTGAATATCTTCTGCAGCATATTCTACAGAAGGGGAGAGTGATTGAGGCTACTCCAGCTGTTAATGACTCTTAGGCATCTCTCTCACAGTCCTCCACAGGAGGTTATGTATGCCTGGTTATCTGAAATTCAAAAAGCTACTGCCTAGTCCCCCCACCCTGGCAGCTCTCCAGGCACGAATGTTCTCCAAGGGCTGGTAGTCAATGACAGGTAAGAGTTTTATTGGCAGGCCAAACTAAGACAGGCACAGTATAGTTGCTGAGCTCTCCTGAGGTGGGGTCAACAAGGCCTGAGCAAAAATCTCTGGCTCCTGCTGAGTGCCCATATAATAAATGAAAAAGGGTAGATATGTAGGAAGTTAAGGCCTGCCAGGCCTAGAGAGCCAACCTGGAGTCTGATAGTCACTGTCAATGGTCCTGATCCTGCATAGCCAATGAGGGGCAATCACAAGATTCTGCCTGAGGCCCTAGCAACAGGAGCTGTCAGAGGTCTTTAGGGTGCCTAGTCAGTTAGGGGCAACTACACAATGTCAACAGATCAGAAAACATGGGTGCTGGAAGAGTATATAATCTTGTATGCATTGCTAAATAAACAAGTCTGCATTTTATTCCTTTCACCTGACTCCCTAGGTCCCTGTCATTCACTTTGTGCCTTCTTCCCACCTCCCTGGAAGGATCCCTTAGGACCAACAACATCTGACTGTCTTGTTTGTTCTTACAAACAACAGCGGGCAACACTGTTTGTGAGGATGGAGACTCAGAGGCCTCTCTGACCAACGAATTACAGGCACATTTCCCATTTCTAGATTATTATTTAATAACATATGGAAGTGTCCTTTTGACCCAATACATGACACCTTCTTTAGTCAAGTTATTTAGCTATTGTTTTGATAACCCATATATATTTCAAAATAACCCATGCCCAACAGGGTTGTAAGGCAGATGTAAGTACTGTTTTTCTTGATAGTCTCTGTCAATTTCTGTATACCACTGTTTATGAAATGGATACTCCAACCAATTTTTTGTGGGTGTCTATACATGTAACTGAGCTGTATAAGAACTTTGATTGTGGATTCACCTACTATTCACTTGAATTGAAATATGGATATTATGGCTGTAGCAGTGACCACATAGGTGAGGGTATATTTGATTTCCTTGCTGAAAGACATAGGCTTTATATAATGTATCCGCCACCTTCTCAAGGGACAAACTAGCTCATGCTTGTGTCCCATACACTGTCATTTCCACTGGGGTACTAGGATACATAGCTTTTTATCACACCTTATGAGATTCTTAATTTATTTAAAAGCTTCTTGGATCTTTTCAGACTAATCCCATATCTCACCTCTCTGTACTCCAAGTGGGCTACTGGGGTTAAATGGAAATCTTCCAATATCCCAGGTGCTCCAGTATACCTGTGGCCTTCTACATTTACAGGCACAGGATACTGATGGATTAAAAGAATAACTTTTTCAGGTATCATATGTGTCTTACAGGTCCATAAAGTTTCAATAGCAAACCCACAAACCTATAATTTGGAAAGAGGACTCCAGGTGACATCAACAGCCTTCAATTGCAGGCAACCTTGGGATGCAGTGGGAACTACTTGTACCCCTCCTGTTTTCACTCATTTTACCCCTTGATTGGGCTTTAAAGCCTTGAAAAATCCACAAGCTCAGTATTTGGCCCTTCACCAGTTGCCCTCTCAGGAATTTGCACCATTTGTTTTTTAATAAACTGAACAGGATTCATCATTTGTTTTGTTATTTCCACATCTCCTGAATGATTTAGCACGCTTATACAATCAGTTTATTTACTGATCTAGAATCATGTAGTTCTGCTAGAGCTTTTCCAGTCTCTTATACATACCATCCAACAAAAGGACATATAAAAAGCCACTATGGCCCTGTAACAGTCTTATGGTCCTGACAAATGCAGTTTTTTTGAGTTTAGTATTGTTTAACTCCCCAGTGTATGTACTACTATTTTATCTGGTGAGTTAGGCATTGACCATCTCTTCTGTAATCTTTGTTTATTTGTTTCTTTATTATTTTCATGGAATTTTATTTTCCTTACTACCTGACTTTTCCTAAGGATTTCAAGTGTTTGAATACCAGGAAGGGATGTTTAGCACAAAACTAACTTGTACTCTTTCTCTTTCATCCTGCAAGTTGCAAGAATTGGCCAACCCATTTCTCCATGTCATTCTGTCTTTTATCAAATTTACCCACAAACAAGAAGGTAGTACCTAATAGCCATATATTACTTTCCCTTTGTAATTTCTTCCTTACACTGATTAGCAAATTGTCACCGACTAGCAAGCTTGACAGTAGATGCACCTTTTATTACACATATCAGTGGTTTGGCAACCTCACTACAGCTTGTCAATACTCTTCTCTTACTTGTTATCTCAAGAACCATGAAATTTGGTCTAAATCTTTTAAGTTATCTCGTAGAATAGCAGACCCCACTTATCAAGCTCCACTTGGATTTTTCCTACAAACACCTTACCCATACTTGCCCTCTGGGAAGAAAACTCAGCCTTGCTTGTATGTTTTATCACCCAAAGTAAAGTCCCTTCATACTTCTGATGAAGTAAGAGGTATGGGAAAAGGTCTCAGCATCCATTGCAGAGACACGAAGTCACTTTTTCCTGACAGCTTTGATTCTCTCTTGTCCCTATTGTGTTATGTGAGACTCTTAAGATACAGAACATATGTGCTCTCTCTCTCTCTCTCTCTCTCTCGTGTGTCTGTGTGTCTGTCTGTGTGTGTGTGTTTTAGCTGTTGATACAACTTGAATGCAGCTCCATCACTGAAAAGCTCATACCAGAATGTGTTGCCATTCTTTGATGCTGCATCTATGAAGCTCTTTCCTGGGTTTTCCAGGAACCTCCAGGGGGCCAAGAGTCTCCACTTGGCAGTTCAACTGGTCAGAGTCAACAGTTCATTTCTTCTCCCATAACTGTGTTGTGGGTGGATCTTGGAAGTTTCAGCTTTTTCAGAAAAGTGAAGAGAGTTTACTTGCTCAGTATCACAAACCTCCTATCTTCTACTTTATCCAAGTGTCTTAACTCACATAAAATTGCTTTGCAAGACACCAGGCTGTCAATCATACTGAAAGCTTTCAAGTCACTGGGATGTGCTTGTATATATTAAGGGTGGCCAGTCAGCAATCCACAGTGTGTTAAAGCATCTCAGCTGGTCAGGGCCTGGAACTACTTCTGAGCTTCTGGTGAGTCAGTCAGATCTGGGGAACCCTCCCTGCTTCTCTAAATGGCCAACACAGTTACAGGCTGGGTACTTCTGCTGCTTCTGCCCTATTCTCTCCAAAATATTTCTTTCCCTCACAGCCATGCCAGAGCTTAGTGCTCTCATCATCTATGTCTTTTTATCACAGCCCTGGGATACTGACTTTCAACAGGATGAAGACAACAATTTGCTCTCTTCTCATCATCGGCTCCCTTCTTCAACTGATGGTCCCAGTGAATACTCAGGACAACTTAGTCTATCTCCTGGAGAGGCTCAGGGATCTTCTCAACCAACAAGGTATGAGATGAGTAGCAGAAACCATAGCCTAATCCTTGCTCATGCTGACTGTTCATATCCCACTCTAAGATCTCAAAGTCCATTCAGTCCACTCCATCCCAAACTTCCTGACCAGTGCTTTCTTCAGTACTCTACCCTTTGGAACTCACAGACAATAACTCGGTATTCTTGATGAGGATGAAGAAAAGCAGGATAGGTCCTGTGATTTATGAACACATTATGAAACAGGTTTTAATATTAAGCTTTTAGTTAGTTCATTGAATTTTCACAGCCAGTTTATGAGGTAAGTATACTTTATTTTTTACTACTTCCTCTTTACAAATGAGGAAACTAAATCATAAAAGTTAGTGAGTGTACTACTTATGGAAACACTGACACGCCCAAGATAGAAAAGGACATAGAACGGAATTGTGAGAAAGAACATTGGCATTATTCCTTTTTCCCTCTTACTCAGGCTACCGTCCCTCCACTGTGCCTAAGGCTCCCTCCTGCACTAGTGTCAAGGCTATGGGCAGACTAGCCTCCTGTCCTACTGGTGAATAACTCCTCGAGGAGAATTTGTGAATAATCTGTCCCTGTGTCCATACCAGTCAATCTCATAATGCCACATTCTCCTAACTCAGTTATGTATTGTCATGGACCTGTATCATAGTCCCAGGTGCCTAGACATCCCTTCCTGATTTTCAGTTACATTAAAGACACTACTGAAACACTATGGCTTTGTCCCTCTTTTCACTTCTTACTTCACGCCCACATATGACAGTCAACATGGACTTAAATTGTGTGGTCATGGATATGACCCACCTTTCTTTCCCATGGCCTGGTAGTGATAGAAGAAAAGTCAGTATAGAAGTGAATTTGCCATCAATTGAGAGGCAGTGAAACTCCAAGTCTTTTCATTTTAATGATTTTTTCCTTGATGATAACTCTCAAAGTTGATTTAGTTTTATGTCCCACAAAATGTAGATACATGCACGAGTTCCTAGTGAGGAGAGTTAGGGATTCTCCAATCCCTTAGTGTCTGAGGTCTCTGATGTCTTTATCTCACACAACCATGCAGGTATGATTGCTACTGGTTGCTCTTGTGGTTTTGCTTGTGGCTCTTGGAATATCCAGAATGAAAACATTTGCCACTGCCTGTGTCCAATCACAGACTGGACTGCTGCCCGCTGCTGTCTACTGTCCTGAGAATGAGGAGGCTGAGAATCTAGTTTTGAAATGACGATTATAACAAAACTTTGTTCTCACCCAGGAAATCTGATTCATTGTCCCGTGATGAATTCATATTATACAGTAACCCTGCTTCTTGAGAAATAAAAACTGATTTGCACTCATCTATGTCTTTAATGTTTTTATTCCTAGTTTGTGGTGTCTACTGTCAGAAAACATTCTCAGTACCTCAAAAATTACACTGTATCTGAGATGGGTGATCAAGAAAGATATGAAAAGAAAGGAAGATATGGATCTCCCCCTTTCAATTCTCTTACTCCCCCATTTAAAATAAAAAATAATAATATTGGATAGCAGGAAATACAGAGGAGTGGAATAGCATGCTTTTGTGAAAACCAATAACTACAGCAGTGAGATTTGGAAGACTGCAAAGTATGGGCAGAAGGGAAATTTAAAATAACTATGTTCTAACTTTTCAACATGTATGTCTACTCCTTCCAAATCCAGTGCCAATGACGGTGAAGGTGACTTCTTTCCCAATCACATGACTCACATATGTCAAAAGAGCACCACAGTTCTCACCTGCTACTGACAATTATAATACTATATCTTACTGGTACATTAAAAATTTACAGAATTCCTGTGGAAGGAATATGAGGATGGGAGGGAGAGGGAACTTGAATTGGTATTTAAAATAAGATTGTTTTTAATTTAAATAAAAATTAATTTAAAAAATTTACTGAATTCCAAAGGAAAAAAAATTTAAAATATTGTTGACAATATTGAGAAGGTAAGCAAGGGATTGGGTATTATGTGTTCTGTAGGTTTTGGTGCTTCTAATTCTGAGCCTTAACAGGAGAATATGTCAACATTTAGAATACCAAAATAATTTTAAGTAATAAAGTGGTGTGATTATTGATAATTTAAGTGGAATTAAAATACACTGAATAAAACTACCATAAAATCTTTTCTTTCTGGGGATCAGGTGAAGGATGGGTTGAGGGTTTGGTAGGGGGCATGGGAGGATGGGATGGAGAGGTAATGGGGGATTGATATGTAAAATGATTGTTTCTAAATTAAAAAATCTTCTCTTTCCGTCTTAGTTATGGCGGTAGGTTTCTCAAAGCTAAAAAACTATGAAGAATCCACTTTTTATATTTATATTTCAAACTAACATAAAATAGCCAGACATGCTAGTGTATACTAGTAATTCAGGTGTTAATGAGGCATAGATGGACAGATCTAGCTTAAGTAACTGAATGGGCAAATTTCAGGCAAAGGGAGAGAACAAGGTAGACAGAACTTGAGGACAATTTCAAGAATTCACTTCCAATTGGCCAACATACGTACAGGTACATAGAGAGAGAGGGGGGAGGGAGGGAGGGAGGGAGGGAGGGAGGGAGAGGGAGAGGGAGAGGGAGAGGGAGAGGGAGAGGGAGAGGGAGAGGGAGAGGGAGAGGGAGAGAGAGAGAGAGAGAGAGAGAGAGAGAGAGAGAGAGAGAGAGAGAGAGAGAGAGAGAGAGAGAGAGAGAGAGGAGATGGGGAATTAAGGGCCAGAATCCAAATGGTGGAAGGAGCATTTTCTTCTTCCAGGGTAAGTTAAGTTCTTGGGGAGGAGCTCAAGATAGAATAGCTTCCCTTGCATGAGATAAGGACACATGAGATGACTAAAAATTATTTATGTTTTATATCATGATATTAATATTAATATGAGACCTTAGGGATAAAGGAACAGTTAGAAGTGAATAATAATATGTTTGTATCTCAAGTTAACATGGGTCAATTGTCCTGGTTGGGTATTTTGACAATTGACACAATCTAGAGATATTTTAGGAGGAGCTATAGCTCTCCTTTTGAATGGAGATATCTTAATGCTTAAGTGATAATGTATTTAACTTATTTAAATATTAACTTATTTAAGCCCTGTGTACCCCAAGCTCTCAGACCACATTTGCATTGAAATTAGACTTTCTTACTTGATTTCCAGCATTTCTTTTACACTTATTTTGACTTATGGTCTGCTTTATTCCCAATGTCTTTTTTTATAATTTATTCTTTTAAATTTCACTTTACATTCCAGCCATAGTTCTAGCTCCCACCCCTCCTCTTGTCCCCTCAACCCCTCAGCCCACTCCAAATTTACTTCTCCCAGTCAACCCAAGTCCACTTCTCCTCACAGGTAAGGGCTCTCATGAAGAGTCAACAAATTCTGGCACAATAGGTTGGAGCAGGGCCAACCAGGTGCCTCTCCCATTCATAAAGGCTGAGCATGGCATCCCACCATAGAGAATAGACTCCAACAAGCTAGCTCATGTACCACATTTGTGTCGTGGTACTACTGACAGAGTTCCCACTGATAATCCAAGCTTTGTAGCTGTCTCCCCATGTGGAGATCATACATCAGTCACTTGGAGTCTCTACCACTGTTGGTGTAGAGTTCATGAGTTTCCACAAACTTGGTTCAACTATCTCTGTAGATTTCTCCATCATGACCTTGACCTCCCTTGATCATATAATCCCTCTTCCCTGACTTCGACTGGGTTCCCAGAGCAAGGCCTGGTTCTCCATTGTGAATCTCTGCATCTCATTCTCTCAATTACTGAGTGAAGGATCTATGATGACAGCTGGGGTATTCACCAAACTGATTACAGAAGAGGGCAGTTTGAAACCCTCTCCACTACTACTAGGAGTCTTAGCCTGAATCATCCTTTCAGGTTCTTGGGAAACACTCTAGCACTAGCTTTCTCCCTAACCCCAGAGAATCTCTCCTTATTAAGATGCCTCTTTCATTGCTCTTCCACTGCACCCTCCACATCCAGTTCTATTACATTCTTATCACCCTGACTCACAACACCCTGTAACAGTTACCAATTTATTATATTGAACTCCTAGTCAAGTGGCAAGCTTGGATCTTGACCTAAAATTTAAAAAATGAATAAAAATTGCATGGTTTTAGTCATTCTCCAGTTTTTCTGTATTTTAAAAACATGTTGTTCTGTTCTCAAACCCTAGTACTAGACTTCCAGACCATTCTTCACAAAGAAGTCAGGCTCCATGCCAACAAACAGTGACATCCCCCCAAACCATCTGGGTCCTTTTTAGGTATGCTTAAATATAAGCTATCAATTATTGATGACACAGTGGAGTGAATAGGAACTGAGAAAGTGACCAAAAACTGTAGTTGCCAGGAATAGGGAATTGAAGCATTATGAAGCCTTGCACAAAACTTGATGTCAATGCTGGGATCACAAGACACAGATGTTCTAGCTGTCCTTTATTTTATACTAAAATTCTAAACACCGGAGAGGAAGTACAGCAAAGAAAAGTGGAGTCTTGAGAGTAGAACCAGTGAGAGTAGACAGTGGTCATTCTGTTTTACAGCACTGCCATAAAACTTTGTGTCTAGCTCCTTTCTAGGGGTTGGCATGGAAAAGACAGAATAATAATTATGGAGTCTGACTGCAGAGGAATATGTCAGTGTGTGTGCCACCCATGATGAGTGTGCTTAAAGATGGTCTATGAAAACGTGAGCATTTCTCAGAATTCATTTTCTTAACTCCTGCAGGTTCCTGCTTAGTTTTATACTAAATATCAATTACCTAGCAGGAGATAAGGGAGTCAACATATATCACCATACACTTGTTTTAGAAACAACTTTGTTTAGGACAACAAAAGCTTTGAAGCTGAACATAAGTAGCCTTCATGTTCTCAAGCGGTCCTGAATCTAAAACTGAGACGAGATTTGCTGTTTTATTTTTATATTTGTGGTATTGCATGAAAATATTTTATAGTTTATGTGACTTCCTTTTTTATGGTCAATGTCCAAATGAAATGGAAAGTGTACTAACAGAAATGGATAACAAACGTGTTTGAATCCACTTCCTGTATTTCATTTAGCCCCAGAGTAGTTAGACAGGTTTATATAAAGGAGAATGCAGTGGAATGGAAAGACCTTGGTTCTAGTAACAGCTCCCAATCTACAAGATGCTCATCTGACACCTTACATAAGCACAATGTTCACCTCAGTCTTGGGTTAGTAATCATTGAAGTGCTGGCATCAAATTAGACAAGGTCCAAAGCCTTTACAAACCCTAATGCTCTGATGTTGACACCAGACTGATCTGGGAAACACAGAGATGTCCTTAGGATATTGCAAGCGTAAGTTAATGCCCATTCTGGTGGGAGTTTGGAATGCCATGATGTCAGTAGAAGCATGAAAGCAGAAGGCTGGACTCCTGATGTAAGGAGGGGAATACAGGAATCGATTTTCTTGATATTGTAGCCTGCCACTTTGCTGAAGGTGTTAATCAGCTGTAAGAGTTCCCTGGTAGAGTTCTTTGGGTCATTCATGTAAACTATCTGCAAACAGTGAAAGTTTGACCTCTTCCTTCCCAATTTGTATCCCCTTGATGCCCTTTTGTTGTCATATGGCTCTGGCTAGAACTTCAAGTACAATGTTGAAAAGGTATGGAGAGAGCGGACAGCCTTGTCTTGTTCCTGATTTTAGAGGAATTGCGTTGAGTTTCTGTCCATTTAGTTTGATGTTGCCTGTTGGTTTACTGTATATAGCTTTTATTATGTTTAAGTATGTTCCTGTTATGGGATAGTTTTCTTCTCTGATTTTGTTGAATATATTTTCTGCCCCTTTGAGGTGAGTTTCTTCACCTTCTTCTATACCTGTTATTCTTATATTTGGTCTTTTCATAGTGTCCCATATTTCCTGGATATTTTGTGTTAGGGATTTGTTGGACTTAAGATTTTCTTTGTTTGATGAATCTATTTCTCCTAGTGTATCTTCAACACCTGAGATTCTCTCTTCCATCTCTTATATCCAGTTAGTTATGCTTGCACATGTATCTGTAGTAGATGACCATTTGCCCCGCTTTTCTATTTCCAACATTCCCTCAGATTGCGGTTTTTTTTAACCTTCTCTATTTCAGCTTTGAACCCTTGCACACCTTAAATTGTTTCTTGCAATATTTGCATTGTCTTTTCCTCCATTTCTTGAATTTTTTGGTTTTTATCTTCCATTTCTTTAAGGGATTTTCTCATATCCTCTTTGAGGATCTATCATTTTCATGAAGTTATTTTTAAGGTCATTCACTTCTGCCTCATCTGCGTTGTGATGTTTAGGTCTTGTTGGAGTAGATTCTCTATACTCTGTAGGTGTCATATTAGTTTTTCTGTTGCTGGATGTGTTTTTAAATTTTCTCCTTTCCATCCCTTCTTCTAGTGGGTGCAGAAGGAGTCTCTTCCTCTCCTGATGGGTAAAGGACCAAGGTTCACTCCCGGTGGGTACGAGAAGGTCCAATTCTCTGGAGGCTCTCCTCTTCCCATGGATGGAGGCAGTGGTAGTACTGGATCCTTGGTAGTTTCAGGATGGGCTGGACCTTGTCAGGCTGGCATCCTCAGTGTGCAGTACCCAGGCCTTAGCTGGCTCCAAGCAGGGCAATGGAAGGCAGGCTTGAAACAGGCCCATGCTTACCTAGTCCCGTGGGTAGAAGAAAGGACTATGATGCTGGCAGTCTATGGGTGGGTTGGATCCCACTGGGATGGGAACTGCTGTGCACAGTCCCCAGGCCTCAGCTGTTTCCCCACAGGGCACCTAAAGTCAGGCCTGAAAAAATCCCACGCTTAACTCGCCTGCCCAGTGGACAGAGAAAGGGACTAAAACACCGGTAATGTCTGGACAGGCTGGACCCCAATGGGATGGAACCACAGTCTACTTTTTTCTTTTCTCCCTTTTACCACTTTTCCAATTGATTTTAAGTATTTGAATAACATTAATGGATTGTTAGCACAAAACAAACTTGTACACTCTTTCTCTTGCACCCTGCCAGCTGTAAGAACTGGGCAAGCCCATTTCACCATGTTATTCTCATTTATCTAATTTACCCGTAAACCAGAGGCTAATGCAGAACATAATAGTCATATATTACTTTCCTTGTGTAATTTCTCCCTTACACAAGAAGATTCCCACTGACTAGCAATCCTGACAATAGATGTACTTTTTTATTACACATAGCAGTGGTTTGGCAATCACTACAGCTTGTTAATGCTCTCTGCTTATTATTTTTCTCAAGGACCATAAATTTATTCTAAACCTTTAGCCTATCACATAGCACCTCTGAATTCACACAGCAGACTCCATCTATTGAGCAGGTATTTTACTCTATAATACTTAGAGGAAAACAGCCACACTTGGATTTTTCTTACAAACACCTTACCTTACTTGCATGTTTTATTACCCATAGCAAAGTCCCTTCCTACTGCTGATTAAGCAAGATTATGCTTGCACTATGTGGGAAAATATCTCAGCACTCACTGTAGAGACATGAAGCCACTCTTTCCTGACAGTTTTGGTTCTCTCTTGTTCCTACTCTGATGCCAAGTGTATTTTGTGAGATGTCTTTTTATGATACAAAGCATCCTCCTTCTCTCTCTCTCTTCCTTATTCCCTCCCTCCCCCACTCTCTTTCTCCTGCGCATATGTGTATGTAAGTGTGTGTGTGTGTGTGTGTGTGTGTGTGTGTGTGTGTGTGTGTGTATTTCAGCAGTTGGTACAACTTGAATGCAGCTCCATCACTGAAAAGCTCATACCAGAACCTGTTGAAATTCTTTGATGCTGCATCTATGGAGCTCTCTCCTGGGTTTTCCAGAAACCTCCTATAGACAAGATTTACCACTTGGCAATTCTTAAGATGAGAGTCAACAGTTGATTTCTTCTCCCATAACTGTGTTGTGGGTGGATCTTGGAAGTTTCAGCTTTTCCAAACAAGTGAAGAGGGTTTCCTTGCTCAGTATCACAAACTTCACATCTTCTACTTTAGCCAAGTGTCTTAACTTACATAAAATTGCTTTGCAAGACACCAGGCTGTCAATCATACTGAAAGCTTTCAAGTCACTGGGATGTGCTTGTATATATTAAGGGTGGCCAGTCAGCAATCCACAGTGTGCTAAAGCATCTCAGCTGGTCAGGGCCTGGAACTACTTCTGAGCTTCTGGTGAGTCAGTCAGATCTGGGGAACCCTCTCTGCTTCTCTAAATGGCCAACATAGTTACAGGCTGGGTACCTCTGCTGCTTCTGCTCTACTCTCTCCAGAATATTTCTTTCCCTCACAGTCATGCCAGAGATTAGTGCTCTCATGTTCTTTGCCTTTTTCTCACAGCCCTAGGATACTGACTGTCAACAGGATGAAGACAACGATTTGCTCTCTTCTCATCATCATCTCCTTTCTTCACTTGATGGTCCCAGTGAATACCGAGGAGACCATAGACTCTTTTGCCAAGAAGCTCAAGGATCTCCTCAGCTATCAAAGTATGAGATGAGTAGGAAAAACTATAACCTAATACTTGCTTGTGCTGACTGTCCATAAAATCTAAAATCCCCTATATCCCACTCTAAGATCTCAGCCTCTGTTCTGACCACTTCATCCCTATCTTCCTGAAAAGGACTGTATTCAGTACTCTACCCTTTGGAAATCACAAACAAAAACTCAGTGTTCTTGATGACAATGAAGAAAAGGAGGCTGAGTCCTAATTTATGAACACATTATGAAACAGGTGTAATATTAAGCTTTTAGTTAGTTCATTTAATTTTTACAGGCAATTTATGAGGTAAGTATATTTTATTTTTTATGACTTTCTCTTCACAAATGAGAAATGTAATCATAAAAGTTAGTAACTGTACTACTTTTGGAAACAATGACATGCCCAATATAGGACAAGATTTAAAATGGAATTGTGAAAAAACTCATGGGCAATATCACTTTTTTTCATTTTACTCAGATGACTGTCCCTCTCCTGTGACTAAAACTCTCTCCTGCACTAGTGTCAAGGCTATGGGCACCCTAGCCTCCTGTCCTACTGGTGAGTAACTCCTCAAGAAGAATTTGTAAATAATCTGTCCCTGTGTCCACCTATTGATTCCCTAACATCACCTTCTCTTTACTCAGATTTGTATTGCTATGGTGCTGAGTCATAGTTCCAGGTGCCTAGACAGCCCCTCCTGGTTTTCAGTTAGCTTTAGGATGCCACTAAAGGACTCTATGAACCCAGTTATTTCAGTCACTTCTTCCTTCATACCCACAGATGATGGTCTACCTGAACTTCAATTGTGTGGTCATGAATGTGGCCCTCTTTTCTTTCCCATTCCCTTCCCTTGTAGTGGTAGAAGAGGAACCAGCACACAGGCAAATTTGCCATCAAATGAAAGACAGTGAAATTCCAAGTCTATTAAATTATTTTTTCTTGAGGATAACTCTCAAAATTGATATAGTTTTATGTACCACAAAATCTAGATATATGCATGAGCTTCCTAGTGAGAACAGTTAGGGATTCTCCATGTCTTATGGTCCTAGGACTCTGATGTCTTTATCTCACACAACCATGCAGGGATGACCGCTACTGGTTGTTCTTGTGGTTTTGCTTGTGGATCTTGGAATGTCCAGAATGAAAACGTTTGCCACTGCCTGTGCCCAGTCATAGACTGGACTGTTGCCCGTTGCTGCAAACTGGCCTGAAAATGAGGACCTGAAAATCCAGTTTTGAAATGATGACTATAAAGAAATTGTCATCCCGTCCGGAAAATCTGATTCATTGTCCCTGTGGTGAACTCATATTACACAGTAACTCTGTTTTTTAAGCAATAAAGACAGATTTGCACTCATCTATGTTTATGTCTTCAATGTTATTAACCCTGGCTTGCAGTGCCTGTTGCAAGAAAACATTTTTAGTATCTGAATGGTTACACCTCGCTGTATTTGAGATGAGTGATTCAGAAAGACATGAAACGAAGGGGAGCAATGGATCTCCCCATGCAATTCTCCTGTTCCCCCATTTTATTAAAAAATATAAGTATATTGGATGGCAATAAATACAAAGAAGTGGAATAACATGCATTTATGGGAACGGACATCTGCAGCAGTGAGATTTGGAAGACTGCAAAGTGTGGGCAGATGGTAGAAATTTAAAATAACCACGTTCTAACTTTTTACCATGTATGTGTACTTCTTCCAATTCAAGTTCCTGTGATGACTTTAATGTTACTTCTCTCCAAATCACCTGTCTTAGACATGTCAAAACAACACCATGTTCCTCATGGGTCACTGAGAATTACAATACTGTATCTTACTGGGGCATTAGAAATTTATGGAATTTCAAAGCAAAAAAATTATTTAAATTGTTGGTCACAATATAAAGAAAGTAGGCACGTGAATGTGTATATTAAGTGCTCTGTAAGGTTGGGAGCTTTCCATTTTGAGCCGTCACAGGAGGATATAATTCATGTGTCAACTTTATACGATCAAAATAATTTTAAGTAGTAAATAGTGCTGTGGTTATTGACAACTAAAAGATATTTAAATAAATTGACCGCAACTACAATACAAATCTTTTCTTTAAAAAAATCTTTCTTCCATCTTCTTAACTATGACAATAGGCTTCTCAAATTTAAAAACCACAAAGTACCCACTTTTTATATTTAAAACTCACATAAAGGAACCAGACATGCTAGTGTATAGTTGTAACCCATTAGTCAAGGAGACATAGATGTTCATATTCCTTGGACTTACTGCCTAGCCAGAGTGACTGAACAAGAAATCTTCAGTCTAAGTGAGAGAATAAGGTGGACAGAACATAACGAAAATCCCAAGAATTGACTCCAGTGTGCCAGCATATGTATAGGTACAGAGAGAGAGAGAGAGAGAGAGAGAGAGAGAGAGAGAGAGAGAGAGAGAGAGAGAGAGAGAGAGAGAGAGAGAGAGAGAGAGAGAGAGAGAGGATGACATAGAGAATTAAAGCAACGAATGCATTTTGAGGAGCATTTTCCTCCAGGGTAAGGTAAGTTGTTCTTGGGGATGAGCTCAAGATGGAACAGCTTCCTTTGCATGAGATTTGAAGTAACTTATGTTTTGTATCATGATATTAATATTAATATGAGACAGTAGAGGTGATTAAAAAAAGGAACAGTCAGAGGTGAATAATTATGTGCTTGTATATCAACTTTACTTGGGTCAATTGTCCTGAATGGGGTTTTTATCAATTGACATAATCTAGAGATATTTCAGGTGGCTGTGGCTCTCCCTTTGAATGGTGATACCTTACTGCTTAAGTGATATTGTATTTAACTTATTTAACCTCAGACCACATTTGCACTGACATTAAACTTTCTCACTAGTTTCCCTTCATTTTGTTTATACTTAATTTGTCCCAGGGTCTGTTCAGTTCCAAATATCTTATATTGTCCTTCTGATGTAAGTGGAAGCTTAGAACTTGACATGAAATTTAAAAAAATAAATAAAAATCTTTCCAAAAGCAAGCATTGTTGTCACCCATCAGTTTATCTGTATTTTGAAAAACTTGTTGCTCAGTCCTCAATTCCTTGTACTAGGAATACATGCCATATTTTACAAAGAAGTCAGGCTCCATCAACAAAAGTACCATGCTCCTAAATTATCTGGATCCTTTCTAGGTTTGCTTAAGTATAACTTATTAATTATTGTTGAAATGGTGGAGTGAAGAGAACTGAGAAAGAGATTAAAAATTGCAGCATCCAGGAATAGGGAATTGAGACATTATGGGGCTCAAATGAAATGGAAAATGCACTTACTGAAATGAATAACAAACATGTTTGAATCCACTTCTTGTATTTCATTTAGCCTCAAAGTAGTTAGACAGCTTCATAAAAAGGAGAATGCAGTGAAATGGAAAGACCTTGGTTATAGTAACAGCTCCCAATCTACAAGATGCTCATCTGACACCTTACATAAGTACAATGTTCACCTCAGTCTTGGGTTAGTAATCATTGAAGTGCTGGCATCAAATTAGATCAGGTCCAAGGACTTTTCAAGACGTACTGCTCTGATGTTGACACCAGGATGACATGTGAAACATAGAGATGCCCTTAGGATACTGCAAGCAGAACTTAATGCAAATTATGGTGGGAATTTGGAATGCCATGATGTCAGTAGAAGCATAAGCTGAAGGCTGAACTCATGATGTAAGGAGGGGGATATAGGATTTATTTGGAATTGGACTAGAGGCCATTTATGTTACATATGACAAGGACTAGATAGAAATTTCCCACGTGCTGAAAATTGAGTGACCATGATTTAAAGTGTATGCATTAAGTTGATTGAAAGTTCCAACATGTCCAAATGCTGACACTATGGAATAATTTTTACTTATTTTTTATTGTCATGATTATAGTGATAGCATGAAGAACATATTAAAATGTCTTATATAATTTCCCTTTCTTTCATGTTTATTACATTTCACATATTCAATTGAGAGACCTGGTTCCCTAAAGAGTCCCAGGCCTTAGCAAAACTGCAGCCAAAATTCCCAACAGGCTGCACAGAGGCATGGTCCAGACCCCCTGAATCACTGGGAAATGGCTGTCCCCAACCTTGACCCTAGTTACAAGAAAAACTGAAAACATACCCTCCTGGGAAAGGCCAATTAGACACAAGACTTATAAACTGCAGATGTCCTTCTGCTGAGACAAGATAAAGACCATGTAACTACCACTAGACTATAGTAACTTCCTTAAACTCCCAAATAGCCATTTAACTCAGATCAGATAACCCAAACCTAGGTTTAGCCAATCCCAAACCTGTAACCATGCAGCTTTGAATTTTCCCTGACCCCCTTTGCCTTCCTCTGTAAAAGCCTCGACCTGCTGCTGCTCAGGGTCTCCCCTGCTCTACTGCAGGATCAGACTGATTGAGAGGCCTGAGATAACTCTTAAGAAAGACTCTTTGCTTTTGCACTGGATCTGGTCTCTTAGCAGTCTCTCGTGGGTCAGGACGTTGGGCACAATGTAATAACTATGCTCTTATACATAATCTCCCAAGTTGCATTTGCTCATGCATTATGGACAGTGTCTATGGTTAAGTATTGGGCCACTAAGCCAGGGGCTTCACAAGTAGGCAGGAGTTTCTGTGGCACAGCATCCATTATAAAAGGAATTTTCTTCTCTAAGAACCAGTATTTAAATGACAGTGTGCGAGAGGTACAATATCTAGTGAATAAAAGAATAGCAACAGCTTCCTTATTGGGGCCTATGATCTTCCCAGCTGCAGGTTTTCTTCCTGGTTTACAGGGAAAGATATAAAAGATATAACCCTGCCCTGTGGTATTGGTTGAACCTACTATAGATGTGCTACTTATTATTACTCAAGCAACATTCTGTCTGGCATTCAGTACTATAGTTAGTAGAAACCATAGCCTAGTGGGACTATTCATGAAAACTTTTCTCCAGCATCCTGTGTATCAACTTCCCACACTAGTAGTAAGGAGAGATTTTAAAATATAAATTTTTCAAATATCATGTGTGTCTTACAGAACCATAATATTCTCAAGAACTTAACAAATGTGTCTGATAGTCGAATTAATATCATGAATTAATATAATTTTTGCCTCAATATCCACATAAATATAAGAAAATACGTTTAATAGCCATGACTCTATAATTTCGCAAGAGCCCTACAGTTGCCTTCTACAGCCTTCAATCACAGGCATTCTTGGCCATCCAGTCAGAGCAGTAGCTTGGTGGTTTCCATCCAATGGCATTGCCTTCCTGTGCAAGGCTGTGGTGGGGAAGACCCATACCCCTCCCTCCAGCTTTCACTTTAAGCCCTTGCTTGGACTTTAAAGTCTTTCAAAGAGTCACAAACACAGTATTTTCCCTTTTTATCAGTTTCCCCCTAGGTATTTATACTTTTTTTTGGTGACATGAATACACTCACCATTTGCTTTTTAATTTCCTCATCTCCTCCTGAATGATTTAACATTTTTATAAATCAGTTTATTTGTAGGTCTAGGATCAGGTAGCTCTGATATTACCTTTCCAAATTCTCATGGACCCCATCCCACCAATGGACATATAAAATGACATTAATGCCCATAATAGTCTTCTGATTCTTTACAAAACAAGTTTTTTTTTAGTTTAGTGTTTTTAACTCCCCATAAACACGGTCCTATTTTCTATGAACTAGGCATTGACCATCACACTTAATGTATTTGTTTATTTATCAATTTTTCACTTGTTCTACTTTTCCCTTGAATTTTAAGTGTTTGAATACCATTAATGGATTGTTAGCACAAAACAAACTTGTATACTTTCTCTTGCATTCTGCCAGCTGTAAGAACTGGGCAATCCTATTTCTCCTTGTCATTCTCACTTATCAAATTTACCCCCAAACCAGAGGCTAATGCAGAACATACTAGTCATATATTACTTTCCTTGTGTAATTTCTCCCTTACACAAGAAGATTCCCACTTACCAGCCATCTTGACAGTAGATGTACTTTTTTTATTACAGTGGTCTGGCAACCTCACTACAGCTTGTCAGTACACTTTGCTTACTATTTTTTCTTAAGGACTATAAATTTACTCTAAATTTTTAGACTACCTCCATAGCACCTCTGAATTCACACAGCACACTCCACTTATTGAGCAGGTATTTTACTCTGTAACACTTAAAGTAAAACAACCACACTTGGATTTTTCTTACAGACACCTTACCCAGACTTTTCCTCTGGGAAGAAAACTCACCCTGGTTTACATGTTTTATCACCCATAGGAAAGTTCCTTCATACTAGTGACTGAGAAAGAGCTATGCTTATACCCGGTGGGAGAAGGTCTCAGCATCTATTGTAGACACAT